AATTAATCTTGAATCAATAAGCATTATAATAAAATTATAAATAAATTATAATAAAATAGTTTTATTGTGTGAAAAATGTGAGTCAATGGAATATTAAATTATTAGGGTATAGCAGCAGTTTAAGTTCCTTGGTTTTATCATCCCTTACAAGTCTTTATCCTTCAGCACTCTGTGACAGCTGCTTATGTGCACTGTCTCTTTAATCTTCTGGAGGGAATGTTTTCTCATAGATGAGAAGACAGACTCACAGCAGTTAATTTACTTAGTCATAGACTAGTACATGATCAAGTCTAGAATCAAGTTTCAAGCCTGATTCCAAAGCCTAGAGTAACCACTGGACAGTGAGTCTAAATCTAAAGAAAGGTTGTAAGGCCCGGCCGGCATGGCTCAGTGGTTGAGCAGAGCATCGGCCTATGAATCAGGAGGTCACAGTTCAATTCCCAGTCGGGGCACATGCCCAGGGTTGTGGAATCGATCCCCAATGAGGGGTGTGCAGGAGGCAGCTGATCAGTGGTTCTCTCTCACTGATGTTTCTATCTCTCTCTCCCTCTCCCTTCCTCTCTGAAATAAAAAAAATTTTTTTTTTAAAAGAAACGTTGGCCCTAGCTGGTTTGGCTCAGTGGATAGTGTCCACCTGTGGACTGAAGGGTCCCAGGTTCGATTCCTGTCTAGGGCACATGCCTAGGCACATGCCTGGTTGCGGGCTGGATCCTGTAGGAGGCAGCCAATCGATGATTCTCTCTCCCTCTCCCTTCCTCTCTGATGTCAATAAAAATATACTGTTAACTTTTTATTAGGTTTTAAGCATATAATACTTAAGGGAGAATTCCTGTAGCCGGTCCAAGAAGCTGCTTGTTTCTTTTAGTCTGGGGATGGCATGGTAAATTGTCATGATTGAAGGTTATGATTCCTTTACAGACGAGCAGGTGTTTTTTCAGGACCCCTTACTATTGCTAGTAATAATCCTACATTCTGGGTTGTTTTATACCAGGCTTTCTTCGAGAGTCACCCAGCTCCTTCAGCTGAGCGTACCATCCAGCAGTGTTGTGAAAACATGCTGCTGAATGCTGCGTGGCTAAAGCGAGATGCTGAGAGCATCCACCAGTACCTCCTTCAGCGAAAGGCCTCACCACCCGCAGTGTGAACCCTGAGCACACTGCCACTACGGTTCTGCTGCTTCGCTGCCGGGATAAGGTGGAGCTACCGAACAGCTGATTCATATACCAAGAATTTGGAGTCTTCTTTCAAACCAGTGGGGGTTGGACAATGAATGTAGTTAACTGGTTCCTGCTCACACTCCAGAATTAAGTTCTATTGAAAAAGGAAAAATCAGCAATTCAGCAAAAAAAATAAAAAATAAAATAAAAAGTAAAACTGTAAATATGATAGTAATAAAATAGAGCATAATGAAACTGTGAAACTTCCTGAAGCCTTGTCAAGTGGTTAAAAGTATTTAACACTCTCCTGTTAATGACAGATGTTCTGTTTTTATAACCTACCAAAAGGAAACTAGAGGCTTCTGGGCGAAGAGGATATTTGTGAAGTGGGTTCTGCAAGCAGCCTGCAAGCCAAGGGTAGTGTCCATTGCAGAAACATGAAAGACTGATAGCTGGTATAATATAGAGTCTGTGCATAATCCCAAGTGGGTTTTTGGGGATTTTGGGGGGTTTTTGTTGGCATGGGGACTGATCAGGAGACATATTTTCCTGCATAACTCAATCCAATCCAAGGATTGTAGTTTTCCTCCTTGCCTTCCCTTCTGTGTGACCCCTTGGCAAAAAAAGAAAAAAGAAGAAGAAGAAAAAGAAGGTTAAAAAAAAACACTTATCCTGGTCTGGGTTTTTCCTCCCCTTAGTTCCACCCCCAGCACCCACCCCCGGTGTCCTTCTTAGAGATAACGAAATAATAAGGAAACATCTTTTATAGCCACATTAAATAAGAGAACTGATATACATTATTTTTTCTTTCTTTTTTAAGATTACTTTTAAGAACCCTGAAAGGCATATAGGTGAGACTATAGAAATGAAAAGGTTTTCAGCCAGGCCTTTCTGAAGGAGTTATTCTGCTAAAAATGGTCTTAGTTGTCTTGTAGGCCATCTATCAGACCTCTTATTGACAGTATCCGCACTGGCTTCTCCGGGTTCATTGGGGGCATGTAAGAAGCCAGTGGTCACTGCTGCAGGCCTATTTATTAGTGGTAACTGGTTAAAAGCAGCAACGAAGACTACACGCCTGTGGTGTGCTACTCTCTGCTTCAACAGCGCACCCTACTTACAAGCCTCACCTATCTAATCCAGTGCGTTTTAACTACATCTCATTCCTGTCTCTGTCCCTACAATTTTTCTTTTCTTTTTTCCCCTCTTTTCCTTTTATTTTTTCTTTAAAAATATTTTTGTGTTATTAACAGAAATTCCTATTTGGTGTGGCTTCACTGTATTTCAGAAGGTCATCAGATTGTGAGACTGCTTCCTTGAAACATTTTTGTGCTATTGTTTTAAAAAAATAATAATTAAAAAACAGTTGGCGTTAATAAAAATGTCAATGTGAAACGGATGTCATGATTTATTTATTTTATCTATTTGATTAGAAACTAAAAAGTTTCCTATCATTCAGTAGGATTGTAAGTTTCACTACCATTGGATTTTTTTGAGTCTAAGAAAATCTAGTTCCTGAACTCCTAATGAATAGTACCTAAACAGAAAAACCCTAAGATTCCTTCTTAATTAGTTCTGAATTCTCAGAAATCTCTTAGAGCTCCTTAGAGTCAGCATTCAAGAGTTGAGACCCTTATAAAGGCTTCCTTATACAGGAGCCACGCTCAGGGCTGTTCTGTGGGCTCTGGGCATGTGCTTAAGGAAGCTGCAAAACAGGTTCACAGAAGACTGAGAATTCCGCTTTAATAAAATAACTCAATTTTACATCAGAAATTCTGGAAAGTCTCTCCTCCCCACCACCTTCTCTCCCCACTCTTTCTCCCTTCTCTTTCTTTCCCCTCTCTTTTCTTTCTCCCCTAAAAAAAAAAAAAAGAATAAAAAGGATTCTGGAAAGAAGATATTTTTGTCTCAGCATACATGTAAGCTTTGTACAGTGTAACAGCTCAGTTTGAATTGTGTTGGGGGAGAGGTTGTGCTGGACGTCTTCCATTTGCCCTTCAGCCAGGAGTTGTTGACCCATGTGTATGGCATTAACAAGCCCCTTTGCCCTCTCACTCAGGTTGTGTTGATGCAATTAGTAAACCCTCAGATGATCAAAAGGCCTGAGAAAAGGATGGTCAGGAAATCTATTCTGGCTTCCTCATTGCCAGGTCACATGGGCTGTCTAAGTCCCTCTACCAAAGACCGTGACCCTATTACACAGCCTTCTCTAGCTTCTAGCGCCTCCTCTCTGCCCCTTCAAACCCAGGGACATAAAGGACAACTCCTTAACCAGCTCTGGATTATTCCATCATTCCTTGTTGGTTTCCCTGAACGCTGCCCACGTCTTTGTAAATAGTCCTTTTATTAAACCCTCCTGAAGTTATCCAGTTCGAGTGTGTTCTCTGTTTTCTACTAATATTTTGACTGATTTGGACACCAGAGTCCTGATTTTTAAAGCTCCTGATCTAACCTTTTTTGTGTCAGGTGTTTTAATTTATTATTAGGCTTCCAAATAGCTCCCTATCATAGGTAATATACTCATTTCACAGATTAAAAAGCAGGCTTAGAAAAATTAGGCAAAGTAGTTATTTTGCACATAACATTCAGAACCAGTGGTTGACAGTGTCCAAAACCTGTGTTCTTCCAGCTAGTTGTCATGCTTCCACAGTCAGAAGATCATATAGTCAGACTCTACCCAGACAATAGCTTTAAGATATTTCATGATTTTCCTTTTCCCTAATATTTCTTGGTTTACACTTTAGTGGAAATCAGAACGTTGGAAAGACGAATGTGTTGATCCTCCCTGTGGAGGATTTTATTTATTTACTAGAGGCCTGCTGCACGAAATTAGTGTGAGAGTAGGCCTTCCTTCCCCCAGCTGCTGGCACCAGCTTCCCTGTGGCACCCAGGACCCTGGCTTCCCTTGCAGTCCCAGCTTCGTCCAAAGGACATCCAGTCTAATCAGCATATTATGCTTTTATTATTATAGATTTTAAAAATTTAATTGGGGTGACCTTAGTCTATATCAGTGGTTCTGAACCTGTAGGTCGTGACCCCTTTGGGGGTCGAACGACCCTTTCACAGGGGTCACCTAAGACCATTGGAAAACATATAATTACATATTGTTTTTGTGATTAATCACTATGCTTTAATTATGTTCAATTTGTAACAATGAAATTGGGGGTCACCACAACATGAGGAACTGTATTAAAGGGTCGCGGCATTAGGAAGATTGAGAACCACTGGTCTACATGAACATATAGGTTACATGTATGGGTTACTAATTTACAAAATCTGTATATAGGACCATGTACCCACCATCCTGTGAAGCAATAAAGCCTTTTGGGAACAGTAGGCAATGGTGAGTGAATTTTTTTTTAAATATATTTTTATTGATTTCAGAGAGGAAGGGAGAGAGAGAGAAACATCAATGATTA